GTGATGAGGCAGAGGACAGATACTATTTAAACATAGATTACACACAGTCTAAACACAGTGACACACAATCACATTGTTCTGTATATTCCCCGTGTGTGTGTGTGTTCACTGAGGACTTTGCCCAGTCTGAAAAGTACCGAAGTTCAGACAAAAGAAAGGTTCTCATTCGAGTGTGCGGGGCAGTGATAGGACGACAAGTCAGATGTGATGTTTTTTGAGCTGCTGAATCGATTGCTGTAAAAAATATTTTTTGTTGGCCTTTCTTGGTTTTTGAGCCCAGCTAAATTGCAGCTTTACAAAAGTTCACTATCTGTTGAACTTGATTTGGACTTAAGTTGAAAACAACACATCTTTTTTTTAAATCATTCATATAAAAGTCACAAATGGTTTGTTGTGATTTTAAGACCAGAGGCTCCACAGTACAGTTTTGGTTCTATAAAAGACAACACACATTGTGTAAGATCCAACATACAACCTCAAAACTGAAAACCATAGCCACACACGTTCAAAACTCAAATAAATAATTTATAAAAAACATCACATTATGGTAGGAATATAAGAATCTAACTTGCTGTAATTCATTCCAATAAAAAGGTGGAAAGTTGCTGAATCCGGTCCTGCCAAGTGTCAGTGTGTACATATGGAATATCTAAGGTTAAGACATGTGTGGAATGTGGGCTGTAAAAATATATTTACTTTATATTTTTAAATGGGGGAAAGAGGTGAAGTGGATATGCTTCAGTGCGACAGGAAGTTCATGTCAACATATTGATTCCCTTAAATATGTTTTCAATAAGAAAACACTTGACCTTGTGCCATACACTGAGCACTGTGGATTGTATTGTGTGGCTTGTCAGTGTCAGTATGTGGTCTTATTGATAATGTTTAGTCAATAAGCTAAAGTATGATATGCTGAAAATAAATCTTTAAAAAAAGCTCTCTATGGCCTCTTTCAGGAAACTATACTGGACAGATGGGGACAACATCAGCATAGCCAACACAGACGGCAGCAACCACAGCCTCCTCTTCACCAGCCAGAAAGGCCCTGTCGGTGAGGGCCATGATCAACCTCTTTGTGGGACTGCATGACAGACAGTGCACCCTAGTGACGGGGCAAGCCATTACACATCAGCTCTGTCTTTGTTTTTCAGGCCTCTCTATTGACTTTGACACTGAGCAGCTGTACTGGATCAGCTCAGGAAACAGCACCATCAACCGCTGCAAACTGGACGGCTCTGGCCTGGAAATACTTGAGGGGGTGAAGGGCAAGCTGACCAAGGCTACTGCTCTTGCCATCATGGGTAAGCTTCCAGAACATACTAATTGTAGCCATAGATACTGTATATGTAGTAATAGCTTAGCAGTGACACAAGATAACAAGACTGTGTTGCAAGTGTATTTGTGTGCCTTTAAAATATGGCTTCCCATAGTTAGGTGTGCTTCTCATGAAGAGTGTTGAGCATCCTGTTTTCTGTTGCATCCTTTAGGAGACAAGTTGTGGTGGGCCGACCAAGGAACTGACCAGATAGGAACCTGCGACAAGAAGGACGGCGGAACCTGGAAAATCCTGAGGAACAGCACGTCTCCCATGATGCACATGAAAATCTACAATGAAACTGTGCAGAAAGGTACAGGGAAAGAACTGCAACTCTTTTCTGAACCTTTGCATCCATCTTTTTGTTAAAGAGTTAGAAAACTATTTTAAAATCCAGGGTAAAAAGCATCTCATTGAAGTGTTGTTCTGCTTTTTGCATGTGGCCTGTTTATCTATGCCAAAGCACATCTGTTTATGTCTCTGTAACTTCTCTTTGATTTGTTTTGTGTTTTTGTTCTCATGCTTTTGTGTTCCCAGGCAGCAATCTCTGCAGTAATAACAATGGAGACTGTTCCCAGCTGTGTCTCCCCACCTCCCCGATCACCAGAGCCTGCATGTGCACTGCAGGATACAGCCTGCGCACAGGGCAACAGTCTTGTGAGGGTACGTCACATTCATACACATGAATTTGTTCTTCTTTCACCCAAATTTGGAAGTGATAGATGTCTGATGCAACTTAAAAACAATGAATTGTATTTGTCTGCTGTAGGTGTTGGCTCTTTCCTGCTGTACTCTGTGCATGAAGGCATACGTGGTATTCCTTTGGACCCGTCTGACAAGTCTGATGCCCTGGTACCGGTGTCGGGCACATCGCTTGCTGTGGGCATAGATTTCCATGCTGGTAAGACTTTTTTACAACATGTGTGTTTTTACTTGATACAAATGAATTACCCCAGCATTTAAGCTGCTCCATGTATAACATCAACATAGACAAATATCAAGTCACAGTACATGAAAAACAAACATTTAACGTAACAGCACAATCACTGAGAGAAAACATGCTCAAAGACCCTTTAGCGTGCATTTGATCTGGGATTTAGCTCTGTATTTACTGTGAGTGCTTAAGTCTGACTTTATTGAGTATAGGATACGTTATGTAATGTTTGACCTGTTTCCACAGACAATGACACTATCTACTGGGTGGACATGGGCCTGAGCACCATTAGCAGGGCCAAGAGAGACCAGACCTGGAGAGAGGATGTGGTCACCAACGGCATCGGCAGGGTGGAGGGCATCGCTGTGGACTGGATAGCAGGTGAGGGACATACATTCTGAATCATACATACATACTGATAAATTGTGTTTTATTTTGCTGTCAGTGTTTCCATCATCCTTGCTTTTATGTTACCACCCAGTAGGAAGGGAGATTAGTTTAACTGAGAAAACAAGAAAAGACAAAAAAAATAGAGAAACACCTGAACTGTAAAAAACTATTTTATTACTAAGGTCAATAACTTCTGAAGTGTCAGAAAGGAGTTCAAATAAGGTCAAAGAATCATTGTTTCTCCTCCATCCTCTACAGGAAACATCTACTGGACGGACCAAGGCTTTGATGTGATAGAGGTGGCCAGACTGAATGGCTCTTTCCGCTATGTGGTGATCTCCCAGGGCCTGGACAAGCCTCGTGCCATCACTGTCCACCCTGCGAAAGGGTGAGAGGAAACAACACTCCAATTAGCACTGTAGCTGTCTGTAGCTTCTGCTTCTCTAATCTCTCTCATTATTGATTACTGAGGAAGCTGTGCTTTGCTGTGTTTGTGTGTGTGTCTAGCTACCTGTTCTGGACAGAGTGGGGCCAGTACCCTCGTATTGAGCGGTCTCGTCTGGATGGCACGCAGAGGGCTGTTCTGGTCAACTCCAGTATCAGCTGGCCCAACGGCATCTCCGTTGACTATGAGGTGCAGTTTAACAGACCCATTCTTGCATTAATATCACTATGTTACAGCGCAGACTAAGGCTGTCCCCGCCGAAATAAATTGTAGTTGGCTTACACACAATTGTATCCTTTAGTTAATCAGTTGTTTTAATCAAAAGATCAACATGAAACACAGTAAATATAATTAAAAAAAAAAACGTAATATTGAGAGTGCAGCCCTAGTGCAGACAGCGGACCCTGCATCACAACATCACTGTAACCATTATCATCCGTGTGCATGTAGGAGAGTCTGCTGTACTGGTGTGATGCCAGGACGGACAAGATTGAACGCATTAACCTGGAGACGGGAGAGAACAGGGAAGTTGTGCTGGGCAACAACAACATGGACATGTTTTCTGTGTCTGTGTTTGAAAACTACATATACTGGAGTGACAGGTCAGATATTGCACCCTCATTTGTATGTTATTTGCGAGCAATATTAGTCTTTAGTTTGAAAATAAAAAAAAATTTTAAGCTTAATTTCTGCTACTTTTTTTAACCAGGACACATGCTAATGGCTCCATAAAGAGGGGCAACAAGGACAACGCCACAGACTCAGTGTCTCTGAGGACTGGTATTGGAGTACAGCTCAAAGACATCAAAGTGTTCAACAGGGCCAGGCAGCAGGGTAACTGATTTGAAAACATTGTCTGCTTTTTATTATCTTTTCCTTTTAATGACTGATTTTAAATGCCATTTTCTTAATGTCTTTCATTTTTTGTAAAGCACTTTGAATTGCCTTGTGTTGAAAGGTGCTATATAAATAAACTTGCCTTGCCTTGCTTTACAAGTGAAGAAATTAAACATTATAATATATTAAATATTTTAATGAACTACCTCAATTCAATGTAATTTAAAATGTTTTCTATGACTGATTTTCAAGTTTGAGAAATGTAATTGTAGTTGATGATTATTTAAAAGATTTCATGTCTGTTTACAGGAACAAACGTGTGCAAAGATAAAAATGGCGGGTGCCAGCAGCTTTGTCTTTTCCGTGGCAACGGGCAGCGGACCTGTGCCTGCGCTCATGGCATGCTGGCTGAAGATGGCTGCAGCTGCCGGGACTATGACGGCTACCTGCTTTACTCAGAGCGCACCATACTGAAGAGTGTCCACCTATCGGATGAAAACAACCTAAATGCACCCATTAAACCGTTTGAGGACCCGGAGCACATGAAGAATGTCATAGCACTTACGTTTGATTACAGAGGAGGTGGAGGAAAAGGAGCTAACCGTATCTTCTTCAGTGACATCCACTTTGGCAACATCCAGCAGATCAGTGATGATGGATCTGACCGCAAGACTGTGGTAGAAAGTGAGTATTCGCACATCTAACATTTGTGTAAACCTTTTTTTTTATCTTGTCTTTTAAAAATAAACCTCCACTTAAATGTTATCCCATTTTATCTATATTTGAATCCCCCTCCCAAAGTTGACATTGTCCTGTCATTTGGTTATAAATGTTTTGTTGAATGTCAAAGAACCTTAGTTGTAAACATCAGACCCCCCACTGAGAAAATCTTGTGGAAAAGAAAACGGCTGGAGCCCAAAATAGCCCCAGTGATCTAAACACAACCAGGAAGCTTTTCTTCTGAAGTTGTAGCCAAACTAGAAAACAAAATGAAAGCTTTGGGAACAAAGTGTAGTATAAACACTGTACAGATAGACCTTCATTCACCTTATCTCAGAAAAAAACACCCATGTGCGCAGTTAATGTTTTACTGAAGTGTCTTTACTTTAAACCGTTTTACAAGGAATGCGTGATTCAGGATTGTTTGTGCCAGTGTCCCTGTAGAGCGGCCCCTCCCAGGGCTACCGGTTAGATTTCCTTGTAGTGTCATTTGGTATTGCTATTTTGCCATTTAAGTATACTTTCCTCTGAGAGTATGATTGTGTCCATTCTTTTCATTTCGTTTTTTTTTTAAAAAGCAACTCAGTTTGTAATTACAGTTTACAGTTATTCCCGGTTGTGAGGACTTTCCCAGTGTTTGTGTGTTAGCTGTTCAGTTTTGTCAGGCAGCAGCCATAGTCACAGAAACATTGGCCCTTTGTCCTCCCCTCTTGAACAGCCTCAGTAGGTCTTTTCTGAATTTTTGGGACATCAGTACATACAGGATGGGGTTCATCACTGTAGAGGAGGTAGCCATGAGGCGGGCAAATACAGTGAAGGGGCCATTACGTGGAGAGGCACCAGTGGCCCCTGAGCTTTTATCCGCCAATAAGGCCAGCGTCAGGCCGTATGACGGCAGCCAGCACAAGGTGAAGGCCAGCACCAGCATGGCCGACGTCTGAGTCACTTTGCTCTGGTAGCGCTCTACTTGAGGGGCCCTTCCTGCATGCTGCCTCCCCCACAGAAACATGTAGATGCTGCCGTAAGCCACCGCGATGGTTACCAGTGGAAGCAAGAAGGCCACGAGGAAGTGAAACAATCCATAGATCAGCTGGTCTTTGTGGGTCTGGAAAGCAAAGCAAGCGAGGCCATCAGGTGTTCGACGTGGGGTCCCCACAGAGCGAAATACCAGCTGGGGGGTGGCCAGGCAGCACGCCGGCACCCAGAGGAGCGCAGCTGCTATAGACACCCTGCATGGGGAGAGGAGGCTGAAGGCTCTGGCAGGCCGCACCACAGTCAGATAGCGAGACACAGCCAGCAGGGCCAGTGTGAAGGCGCTGGCTGAGGAGCAGGCAGAGCCAAGGAAGCCCGTCAGACGACACATAAAGTCTCCAAACGGCCATTGCTGCATGGCTACAGCAGCAGTGTGGAAGGGAAGCATGGAGAGCAGGAGCAGGTCTGCTGCGCTCAGAGCCAGCAGGAGGGCGTCAGTTCCGCTTCCTGTCATGGAGCTTTGAGGGGTCCGTGCTCCCATCCCACTTCTCCGCCTTCCACACAAGATCACTATCACCAATGTGTGACCGCTAACTCCCAGCAGCAGAATAAGTACATCTAATATCGGGACCAGGACCCGCTCCACATTCCCTAGCGAGGTGTCACTGCTGTTCCCGAGCAGATCCTCTGAACCCGTAGAGTTCATCCTGTCTTCAGTTATGGAGACGTCTTTCAGTCATACTGCCACTGTTGTCCCTTGGTTGGGTCGAATATTATCAAGCAGGTCATAAAACTACAGATAATACGTGTGGGAATGATTAATCATGCGATGAGCCAATAACAGTTTACTTAGAAATAACAGCGTATTGATTTCCCAACAACTTCTTCAAACGTTCATGGTAAAATTAACCAATACAAGTACTGAAGGTGGATGTAATATATATATATATATATAAATACATACATACACACAAACTACATTGATTTATGTCCCTTCTAACGTTATGAAAATGAAACTCCTTTTAAAATACATTCAGCAAATGTAAATTTCCGTAGTAGAGTTAAAGCTGCTTCCATTGTGCTGTGTGTGAACCAGGCTACTCCTCGCAATCAGCTCCACCTATGATTGGCCGGGGGCGGTAAAGTGAGTGAAATAAACTCAGACCCCTCAATTAAAGTCAAGAAACTCCTGATTTCTTAGCTGTTCCTCTCTTGTTACGAGCGTCCAAGTGTTGAGAGCTTGCCGGCGTCAGTTCTGTGATTTCCTGTCACCTCAGAGCAGTCGGCTACTCCACATGACATCTCAATTAGGCCTGGGCTCAGCTATCCACAATCAGCCGCAATCCGGCCTCCATGGAGCAGATCTCCTGAGAAAGACAACTCTAGCGGAGAAGCAAACATGAGGCGAATAGTGACAGTCAGGCAGGATGAAGCAGAGTAGGCAGCAGGTGAACTATGGACTGATTATCAGAGCAGGCCAGAGATAGGCTGGCCTGGCTCTCTGGGGGAGGACCTAATGGGGCCAGACATAGTTTCCCAGGGTCCACTGTTTTTGTTCATTTTCTGAAAGAATCTATACATTTTCTCCAAGTGTGCCTTCACACACATATATAAGGAAAACACACATGTATGGTACATAAACAGGGTGACAGTGATTTAGTGTTTGCCTTCAGAAATCTGGGTAATTATTGACTGCAGGTCAGCAAACACTGAAGTGCTATCACACCTACTGCAGATAACTGCAATAAAGAACTACAGTATCAGTGTCAGTTCAACCAGCTGAGCTCAAGAGCTGTAAACTCAGCTCATCTGTTTTATCGTCGTCAACAACAAGCGAACATGTACAGGGACCCAGATAGGCTTGGGTCAACAATGTGGAGATAAACAGAGCTCAAAAGCAAGAATTTGAGTAGAGAGTGCTGCCGGCTAGAGATTTACAATTCATTAACAGCACCAAGGAAAGAGGAAATAAGGGCGAATGGATTTCATGTTGCTCCTCATCGATTTGAGGGGAATTGATTTATGACCATTAGAAGCAGAAGGCGCTTGTTTTTGCCTAGCGTGCCTTCGCTTGGCTCTCCTCTTCCTTTGCCTCATTCACAGGCTCATAGCATGAGCCAGTCAAATGTTGATTCATGTTAGCCGCGTTGCGCTGGAGATGTTGAGGTGTAGTGTTAAGTGTCCCACCTGGTGGTGAACTGCGCTGAAAGAGAGTGATCATACCCAGCCCTGTAAAGGCCCGCTCTAATCATTAGTCCCGTCCAATGGCAGTAACAAGAAGGCTGCTAATAACAATTATTTGTCATCGGAGTGTTCTGATTTGTCTTTTCAAGTGTATACTTTTCTGAAACACACTTTACCAGTGGACCAGCTGCTGTCTGTCTGCCTCTGCATAACTTTGTTGATGTGTAATTATATCTTGGCTGACTGTTGCCTGTCCTCTGGCCTGTGTGCAGGCAAGGAGCTCTGAACCTCTTACTCATTTCAAGGCTGTGGGGCAGAAACGATGACTTTTTATTTCTCATCTGTTGATGAGGTAGTGTGATGGAAAGTAATACGCTAGGCGGCAACTGTTATTGTGACCTTTTTAGTGAGCTATTTGCTGGATAAAAGCCTCAAATCACACTGTGTTCTTGGTCATTAATACCAAGCTGTCATGTCCACAGCCCTGACTCTGTGCTGTCCCACAGCTGTCTGCCAACACTGAACTGCTGCCAGACAGTCCACATTTGGCCTTTTAACATAGAACGCGCTTCTTTTCCTTTCCTTCTTTTCCTTTCCTTCTTTTCTCTTCTGCCTTCTCCCTCTTTGTGGTTCTTTTTCTTCTTTCTTCTCCACACTACTCTCTGTATTCATCTCTATTGCTTGATTCTTTTTCAGATATTGGCTCTGTGGAGGGCTTGGCATATCACAGGGGTTGGGATATGCTGTACTGGACCAGCTACACTACCTCAACCATCACCCGGCACACCGTGGACCAGAGCAGCTGGGGTGCCGTTGAGAGACACAGCGTGGTCACCATGTCAGGCGATGACCACCCGAGAGCCTTTGTCCTTGATGAGTGTCAGAGGTTAGAGAGATTACATGAACTCACATCACACCTCCTTGCAATAAAAACGATTCCTTAAGTAAGTCCAAAAGTGAACATGAACACTACTGATAGTTTTTTTTATCTCTCTCCTGCAGCCTCATGTTTTGGACCAACTGGAATGAGCAGTCTCCCAGTATCATGCGTGCCACACTGTCCGGTTCCAACGTCCTTGTGATCATTGGGAATGACATACGAACCCCTAACGGCCTGGCCATAGACCACCGCGCTGAAAAACTGTATTTCTCCGATGCCACACTAGACAAGATAGAGCGCTGCGAGTATGACGGCACTCGCCGCTATGTGAGTGACATACACAGTAAAAACACTTTGTAATTATATGAGGCTGTGCAAAGGAAAGCTTACTCTACAGTATGATTGTATCTTGGGGTTGTTTATACTTTCAGGTTTGTTACAAGGCTTTCCTTTCCTGAATGTATAATGTGAGGTGATGGCTGTGGATGTGCCTCCCCCTGCAGGTGGTGTTGAAGAATGAGCCGGTGCATCCGTTCGGCCTGGCTGTGTACGGTGACTACATCTTCTGGACGGACTGGGTGAGGAGGGCCGTGCTCCGGGCTGACAAATACACAGGAGGAGACATGAAGGTGCTGCGTGCCGACATACCTCAGCAGCCAATGGGCATCGTCGCTGTGGCCAACAACACCAACAGCTGTAAGTGTTTACACAGTGCGGGATTCAGCTGTTTGTGTGCGTGTCATTAATAATATAAACTGTGGAGTGAAGGTGTGACAGATTGATTGAAGTACATATTGTGAAGGACTGGGTGGTAAGATTGAAAGCCTACTGTATGTGCACATTTTGAAAAGAATGACTATTTAATTAAGGAGATAATCTACCAATTTAAATACCTACATAGGTACTTCCTTGCATTGGTACAAAAATAAAAGTCCATCATAAAAACAATAATAAACAATTAACGAAACAAACACACATTTCAATCTTTAGCAAAAGCTCTGTTAGTTGACAAGTTCATGCCATCTAATTTTGCATTAACATGCAACTAAACATGTTTAAAGAGCAATTCAATTTTTTACATCACGATAAATCAAGATACCATTTCTTGTTAGAATCGAGGTAATATCTTAAAATTGCATTACAGCACAGATTATTGTTCCTTGGGGATAATATCACGGTTATTATGTCATGACAAATTCATCTAAAAAACTAAAAAGTTTAATTTAGGCATTTTTTATGAAGCAAATGTTGTACTTTGAACAAACGCACATACTAACAAATAAACAAATATGTATTTCTACTCGCAGGGAGATGTGACAGAAATAATCTAGTAGTGACTGCAACAGATGTAGATGAAGCGCGCACTGAATTGCAGTTTTTAACTCAAATCCAAACTTATCCTTCCCATCTTGTTCTACGTCTGCTATTGTCTGTATCCCTATAAATCAATGCAGCCCTGTATTTTTTTTCCGCCCTATCGTCAGCCATCTTCTCCCTCAAGTTGCCTCATTCAGTAAACTCTCTCACGCTCCAATGCCCACGGCGGCCATACAAGCGGAGAGCCTGTGGTAATAGCTGCAAATCCCATTTAGATTGAGTCACATTGAATTATGCATTCAGGGGAGGCAGAGCCATCGCCACAATCATGCAGGCCGATCTGTCTGATGATGTGGATGCACATGTGGGGGGGGGGGGGGGGAGAGTGTGTTTGCTTGAGTGCCAGGAGGTTGGATGGGGGAACGTTTAGAATGTGTGTGTGTGTGTGTGTGTGGTGTGTGTGTGTGGTGTGTGTGTGTGTGTGTGTGTGTGTGTGTGTGTGTGTGTGTGTGTGTGTAGGTGTGTGTGTGTGTGTGTGTGTGTGTGTGTGTGTGTGTGTGTGTGTGTGTGTGTGTGTGTGTGTGTGGTGTGTGTGTGTGTGTGTGTGTTGTGTGTGTGTGTGTGTGTGTGTGTGTGTGTGTGTGTGTGTGTGTGGTGTGTGTGTGTGTGTGTGTGTGTGTGTGTGTGTGTGTGTGTGGTGTGTGTGTGTGTGTGTGTGTGTGTGTGTGTGTGTGTGTGTGTGTGTGTGTGTGTGTGTGTGTGTGTGTGTGTGTGTGTGTGTGTGTGTGTGTGGTTAACGTTCCCTTTACTTTCATCATCTCTGCATAGGTGAATTTTCTATGTGCCGTGTTAACAACGGAGGATGCCAAGACTTGTGTTTGCTGACCTCTGAGGGAAGGGTCAACTGCAGTTGCCGTGGTGACAGGAAGCTTTTGGAAGACAACACCTGCATAGGTAATAAACAACAGGGGGAAACTAAAAGTTTAGCTTAGGATGCCAGAGAAATGGTGCCATATAAAGTTAGAACCTTATTATAGTTGATTACAGTTTAGTCAATAGTTATTTTACTTTTCAAAACAATTCAATGATGATCATGATTGTTTACTAAGTATTAGGATGCTATATTCAATGTTATTATATCATTAGTTTGTGTTAATGATTAGTTTGTGCCATTAAGTTTGTGTTAATGCTGATATCAGAAACCAAGTATTTACCCTTGTTTTTTTTAACTAACTATCATTTTGATATTTATTAATGATTGTTATGATAGAGTGTTGCATACCATTTATTTATATTGTGCATGTTCACATGATCAAATACAAAGTACATTTTTCTGTTTATTTCTCACAGCCCTTAACACTACATGTAACAACCTTGATGAGTTTGAGTGTGGAAAT